CGACATTGGAGTATCAAAATGAAGGCACTTCTTGGATCACAAGATGTGTGGGATATCATAGAGAAAGGCTATAATGAGCCTGCGGATGATGATTTTTGCTACTCTTACACCAGATCAAAAGACAACTTTGAAGGATTCAAGAAAGAGAGATAAGAAGGCTCTCTACTCATCTATCAAGCATTAGATGATGATGGTTTTGAAAAGATTTCAAGTGCAAGCTCTAGCAAGGAAGCGTGGGAGAAGCTGCAAACCTCTTACAAAGGATCCGAGCAAGTGAAGAAGGTTCGTCTCCAAACATTAAGAGGTGAATTCGAATCCTTAAACATGAAAGCATCTGAGTCTATTTCAGATTATTTCTCAAGAGTAGTAGTTGTTTCTAATCAATTAAAAAGAAATGGTGAAAAGTTAGACGATGTGAGGATAATAGAGAAGATACTCCGTTCGTTGGATCCCAAATTGAGCACATCGTCGTGACGATTGAAGAAACTAAAGACTTGGAAGAAATGAAGATCGAACAGCTCCAAGGATCATTGCAAGCATACGAAGAGAAGCATAAAAAGAAGCATGAGTTTACTGAGCAACTCCTCAAGCTGCAACTCAAGGATATGCATGAGAGCCAACGCAATGATAGAAACCAACGTGGCCAGGCAGAGGTAGAGGCCATGGACGAGGTGGAAGTCGAGGTCGTGGACGAGGCTGGAATTACAACAATAACAATTCCAACAACAACTATGAGAAAGGAGAAAGCTCAACACGAGGCCGTGGAAGAATTAATCCAAACTCAAAGTATGACAAATCTCAAATTCGATGTTATAATTGTCAAAAATTTGGGCATTATGCTTCAGAATGTAGAGCTCCCAACAACAAAATTGAGGAGAAGGCCAATTACGTGGAGGAAAAGACAGATGGCAAAGAAACTCTTCTTCTAGCACGAAAGGAAACTGATGGTGGCCAAGCAAATTCCTGGTATCTTGACAGTGGTGCAAGCAATCACATGTGTGGAAGGAAAGACATGTTTGTGGAGCTAGACGAGTCAGTAAGTGGAAATGTTTCGTTTGGAGATGATTCCACAATAGCAGTGAAAGGGAGAGGTAACATTCTTATCCGTTTGAAAGATGGGAGACATCAATTTATTTCAAATGTCTACTATGTGCCCAATATGAAAAGTAACATTTTAAGTTTAGGGCAACTGGTAGAGAAAGGTTATGATATTCATATGAATAATTATAACCTTTCTATAAAAGATGATAAGAATAACTTCATTGCTAAAGTGCCGATGTCAAAGAATAGAATGTTCTTGATCAACATACAAAATGATGTTGCAAAGTGCCTGAAAGCTTGCTACAAAGATGCATCATGGCTTTGGCATCTTCGATTTGGGCATCTCAATTTTGGAGGTCTAGAGCTATTATCTAAGAAGGAGATGGTGAAAGGACTACCTCACATCAACCATCCTGACCAACTCTGTGAAGGGTGTCTAGTCGGGAAACAATTCAGGAAAAGCTTTCCAAAGGAGTCAGAGACAAGAGCTAAGAAGCCACTTGAGCTCATCCATACCGATGTGTGTGGACCGATCAAGCCAAGTTCTCTCGGTAACAATAACTATTTTCTTCTCTTCATTGATGATTTTTCAAGAAAAACTGGGTATATTTCTTGAAACAGAAGTCAGAAGTTTTTGAAGTATTCAAGAAGTTCAAAGCAGCAGTGGAGAGAGAAAGCGGTAGAAAGATCAAAGCCATGAGATCCGATCGAGGTGGAGAATTTACTTCCAGGGAGTTTCAAGAGTTCTGTGAAGCAAATGGAATTCGTCGACCAATGACAGTTCCTAGATCCCCCAGCAAAATGGTGTGGCAGAAAGAAAGAATAGAACAATCCTCGACATGGCACGAAGCATGCTCAAAAGCAAGAAACTACCCAAAGAATTTTGGGCGGAAGCAGTATCGTGTGCAGTCTACTTGTCAAATCGATCTCCAACAAGAAGTGTATGGGGAAAGACACCGCAAGAGGCATGGAGTGGAAGAAAGCCTGGCATTTCCCACTTGAGAACCTTTGGAAGTATAGCCCATGTTCACGTACCAGACGAGAGAAGAACGAAGCTTGATGATAAAAGCGAGAGTTTTATCTTCATCGGCTATGATGCTAATTCGAAGGGCTACAAGTTGTACAATCCAGACAATAAGAAGTTTGTGATTAGTCGAGATGTGGTCTTCAATGAAGAAGGAGAATGGGTTTTTAACTCCCATACAGATGACTTCAATTTCTTTCCTCAGTTTGAAGAAGATGAGCAGACAATGAGGGAGCAACTAGATGAATCTCAACAAGAGCTTGCAACTCCACCCACTTCACCAACATCAACCACTCAAGGAGACTCATCACCTTCATCATCGTCAAGTGGGAGTCAAAGTGAAAGAGTTGTGCAACGCACAAGAAGCCTTAGAGATCTCTATGAGGTAACTGAACGACAAGATAATCTTACATTATTTTGTCTGTTTGCCGATTGTGAACCAGTGAGCTTTCAAGAAGCGGTACAAGAAAAGAAATGGAGAGATGCGATGGACGAAGAAATCAAGGCCATCGAGAAGAATGACACATGGGAACTTACCTCACTTCCCAAGGGACATAAGGCGATAGGTGTCAAATGGGTGTACAAAACAAAGCAAAACGCCAAAGGAGAGATTGAAAGGCACAAGGCGAGGCTAGTTGCTAAAGGCTATAGTCAAAGGCTGGAATTGACTATGATGAGGTATTTGCTCCTGTTGCTCGATTGGAGACTATCAGACTAATCATTTCTTTGGCAGCTCAAAACAAGTGGAAGATACAACAGATGGATGTAAAGTCCGCCTTCCTAAATGGAGTTCTTGAAGAGGAACTTTACATTCAGCAACCATCAGGCTATGAAGTCAAAGGGCATGAAGACAAGGTGTTGAAGTTGAAGAAGGCTCTTTACGGGCTAAAACAAGCACCAAGGGCATGGAATAGCCGAATCGACAAGTACTTCCAAGAGAATGGCTTCAACAAATGTCCCTACGAGCATGCTCTATATATCAAGATCAAAGATGAAGATATTTTGATCGTGTGCCTCTACGTGGATGATTTGATCTTCACTGGAAGCAACCCAAGCATGTTTAATGAATTCAAGGATGTGATGATGAAAGAATTCGAGATGACAGACATGGGGCTCATGGCGTACTACCTTGGCATTGAAGTTAAGCAACAAATGATGGAATTTTCATTTCACAGGAAAGCTATGCAAAGGAGATACTGAAGAAGTTCAAGATGGAGAACTGTAAGCCAATAAGCACACCGGCAGAATACGGGATCAAGATGACCAAACATGAAGAAGGCGAAAGTGTAGATCCAACATTCTTCAAAAGTTTGGTAGGAAGTCTACGCTATCTAACTTGCACGAGACCCGATATTCTTCACGCAGTTGGATTGGTTAGTCGCTACATGGAATCCCCAACAACCACCCATTTTAAAGCCGCAAAGAGAATTCTTCGCTATCTGAAAGGTACAATTGACTTTGGCTTGTTCTATTCAGTTTCTAATGATTACAAGCTTGTTGGATATAGCGACAGTGATTGGGGTGGAGACATAGATAATCGAAGGAGCACTACTGGATTCGTATTTTTCATGGGAGATATTGCATTCACATGGATGTCAAAGAAACAACCGATTGTCACATTATCCACTTGTGAAGCGGAATATGTTGCTGCTACTTCATGTGTTTGTCATGCAATTTGGCTTAGAAATCTATTGAAGGAGATTGGTTTGATACAAGAAGAGCCTACCAAGGTTTGTGTCGACAACAAGTCAGCCATTGCCTTAGCGAAGAATCCAGTATTCCATGATCGAAGCAAGCACATTGATATTCGCTACCACTATATAAGGGAGTGTGTTGCAAGAAAAGATGTGGAAGTTGAATATGTGAAGTCACAAGATCAAGTTGCTGATATTTTTACCAAGCCACTGACCAGCGAAGACTTCTTAAGATTAAGGAACCTACTAGGGGTCACGAGATCAAGTTTAAGGGAGGGTGTTGGATCATAAACTTGATCCATTATGGGAGCCTAAACCCAAACCCAAAAATTGATGTCATTACTTACATCATTTAATTAAGATGTCATTGCTTACATCATTTAATTAATGATGTCATTGCTTACATCAATTTAGTTAGGTGAGAGTTAGATATTTGTTGAATTTGTAATGGTTTAAATTAGTTTATTTGTGTGGTGTAGGATTGTTCTTGAGTAGTATAAATACCCCTTCCATTTTAGTTTTAAGCATCAAGAAAAATTAAGATTCTAAGTGAGTGAAGAAGCAAAGTCTTATAAGAGTGAGTTGTAGTTCTTGTTTTTGAGTGAGAGTACTCTTGTAATATTTGTTTGAGTTTCAATAAAAGTTGTTTGTGTGAGCGTTTTATTTCCAACACTATTCCACCCACGCACTTAAACCTAATTTACGTAATAAAAATTTGCGGCTAGTTACACGTGAAGTTTACTGCCATGCATGTTTTACCCCTTCTTCATTTTCATGCTGTTATTGCTGCAACCAATTTATTTGTGTTACTCGATTGTCCTCCACCGTAATACCGCCGCCCAAACCCACCACGCTACGGAAGCGTTCCTAAGGTTGAGCCATTGTCATTGAACGATGATACCCCCAACATTAATGGTGCTCGAACTCAGAATCTTAAAGAATAACAATTCTTTTACTATCAAAGTCGATCGGAATATTAAATAATAACAATTCTTTTACTACCAAAGTCGTTTGATTCGTAAACATGAGTAAATTTAAAGCAAGTCCAAGGAATCTTTGCCTCTTTCTCAGTCACACGCATCCAAGTCTATGCTCAAATGTGTTTTAAATACAAATTTCATAAACATGGCTAGGTTTAGATATCATATTAATAAACTGATACAAGAAACAAGAAGGAAAATAATGCATGTCTTCTCATGTCTCTTATTCGACATTTGAATACAAAAATCTAAAATTTGAAGAAAAGTATTAGGCTTATTCGACATCAATTCCCTGTAAGAAATTATAACAACAAACGAAAACACTGATTTACTAGTGGAAACCATGATAAAGATGATGAAGATACTGAAAATAGAGAATTTAGCATTGGAAGCCAGTACTCCTTCCGCATACGTTGAGAAGCAAGCTAAGGGAAATTGGGATATTAAGGTTGAGTCCCAACACGTTAGCTCTGAGTGCGGTGCATAGGCAAACGGCAGCTTCGAGGTCGGCGAGGCCTTGGAGAAGGGAGCAGCATGGTTGCACCGGGGGTGAACCTACGACGACATTGACCAAGTTAAGCACATTGGCACACACACCTAATTTAAGGGCATCCCTGGGACATCTGCCTCTTGCAGATGGAGTGGGGGTGGGGATAGGGTTCGGCCTCGGCCTTGGGTTAGGGTTAGGGGTTGTGGAAGGGCAGGAGTTGCAAGCACTTCCAAGGGAAAAGAAGAGAATGTTGAGTGCCAAAAAGAGGGCCATGGAAGTGATCTTTTTGAGGCCATTTCGATATTCTCAAAACCCTAGTTGGCTTAGAGCTAAAAGAACAAGAGTTTGAGGATGGGGAATATAGAGGGAAGGGAGAAGGGGTTTTATAGTGTTTTCAAGAGGCCTAGTGGGTTGTTTGTATAATGCTAGGTTCATTAATCAAATTGAGCTGGCTGGTTTAAGATTGGACCTTTGTGATTGTGAGGTGGAAATTATTATAGAACATTTCCATGTTCACATTGCTCCTATAGGATCAACCTGCAGATCTGCCTTAGCTAAGTTTGTGAAACTTCATGTTCTTCCATTATCTTGTAAAGATTCATTCACATTAGTATATTCAGGTTCCCAATAGAACTCAATTGCAGTAATAAACTAAGTGTAATGAGTTTCATTAATGACCCAAATACAAAATCTGCAAATCTATCGGTTATGTTAGTCAAAATAAACTTCGAGAGCTGAGATGATACCTCAAAACAACTTCTAAGTTAAATTGATGCAAAACAATTATAAAAACGAAAATGATAAATTGGATCTAAAGTTAAGGACGCTAAAACTATAGACGCAAAAGTACCTTTAAAATTATATATGAAAAAACATTAAAGGGCTTATTGACAAATTTTAAAAATAATGGAGGGACCGAGACCTCCACTGGCTCTGTTTAGTTCCGTCATTGTGAGAAAACAACAGTTAAGTGGTTTAGAAGGTTGTATTAATATTCTATAATTACTGCTAACAAACCACTTTCTTGTTGGTATACGGCATTTGTAGGTTTAAAGTCTTGCGGTCTTGGCATGTTGCGCATCAGAAGTTGGGGGATTTAATCTCGTAATTCTAAAAATTTAGTATTTGATCTTTAAATATTTTAGAAAAATTTATTTAATCTTTCTAAATTTTATTTTTAAATATTTTTAAAAAATTATAATATTATTAATAAATCTTAAAATTTTTAAGTAAACTTCACAAATATTTTGCATCCATAATGCCAATAAAAGTTTTTTAGGTGGAGTCGACTGTTGTGTCACGGGCAAATTAGAACCTGCCTTTTCATTCACGCTATTAACAATATTTATATAATAAAAAATTAAGTTTCAACTATTAAGATTAAAAATTAAGTTTAAGAATTGTCTGTCCAGCTCAGTTGGTAGAGCGCAAGTCTCTTAACCTTGTGGTCGTGGGATCGAGTCTTATGGTGGGCAATTCGTCTCCCACGGAAGCTGTTCTCAACCTAGCGTTGGGAGCAGCCTACTATCATACCTCCCCCTTACCCCATTACATATGAGAATAAGGGTCAGCTAATTTTAGGAATTATTCAAATCAAAGGGCAAACAAATATTTTTTTTTTTTTGAGATATCGGATTCAAGTATTTGACTTATTGAGTTTTATGTAGAGTTGCTTTTGCTATATAGAGTTGTTTTGTAGATATAAAAAACTGAATTTTTGAAACTGAAATTATTAATAGTTAAATTAATAAATAAAATATAGGCATTTATTCTGGCCCAAATGTAGAGAAGAAGAAGAAGAAGAAGTTGATTGTATAATAATATATTCAATTTTTTTCTTAAAGTTTGACAAAATTCCATAATACAAACAAATGCTGTGATGTATTTTCCATTTTCAAACTTTTGAAAAAAAGGCAATGTTGGCCAGAAAATACAGAGCAAATATAACACCTAAGCCTAAGCTAATACAATAGGTCAGTTTATATTTACACAAATCATTATCAAACCAAATGTTCAACCCATTGGCTTACTCAATTGAAGGAGCTTCGAATAAATGAAGTATGAAGATATTAAATTACACGAAAAAATTGAACACAAGAGAGTGTTACAGAAGGCAACCAGCAACTGAATATGAATATAGCTTTGCGGTCTTTGCAAACAGATAGAGTGGATTTGCTACATGATCATCCCTCTTAGTGTCTGGATTTGCTCCATGATTATCCCTCTTAGTGTCTAAATGAAAAACAGATAGAGTGGATTTGCTACATGATCAGCAAATGTATGCATAGTCAGGTCTAAATGAAAAACCAAAGATGTTAAGTTGTAGCGAGTCGGACTAGGAGGTGGCTCATTCTTTTTCCAAAGCAAGGAGGCATTTGAAGGACTGAAGTCCTTTGTCTTGCCACTCTCGTAACCATTGATAAAATACATGCTGTCATCCCATTTGCCAAATAATGTAGCAACCCTATTACCCGAAAGGTCTTCAACAAAACCGTGGACCTAAGTAAATGTACGGCGTGATAAACAAATATTAGAGAGAATGACTATTTAAAGACACAAAGTAGATTAATAAAGTCGGGACAAAGCACTAGCATAGGAGAGTATCCTTTTCCATATTGGTAGAAGGGAATTAAATCGAGCTACTAAAAAGAAACTAACTAAAGATTCAGATCGACAATTAACTTGGCGACGGTTCCGCTCAAGAATAGATTGCTCTTTGAATATAAGTTTGCATGAATATTGGCGATTCCCGCGAATGTGCATCAATCCATGGTGATTGCAATACACTTTATCAAGGATAAGATTATAAATATTAGTAGTTACCTGCAAAGAATGAAGTTCAAATAACTCATAGCACATATATAGAAATTGAAGCACGACACATCCAGTAAATATTCAGTTCAGTGGTGCACACCTTGCTCCACTGAAATATTTCACCATCAACAAACTCCAGGGTTATAACTCCAACAGGGTTGAGCTGGATTGACTGCCCGGAAAACTTTGCACGGAGGTCACTCTCACCCCAGGTTTTCCACCCTTTGCCTTCACAATGAAAGGCAATGAGGGTTGGATGGTGACTAACCTGTTTCAACTTGAAAGGTAAGATATGTTTCTTAATTTGTCAATTTAAGTTCAGCATAAGGCCGCATATTTCTTAGCATGAAGCAAACTCTACTTATAGATCTGGAAGACTGACCTTCTCGGAGAAAAAACGAACACCTCTTTCGGGATAGTCTGCTTCATAAGTTTCACCTAGTAAAGGATTGAAAGGCTTACAATCCCGGCCTTCAGTTGAAGAATAGCCAGAAACAGCAAATGCAGCTACATTAACAATTCGCTGGAGACTTTTCCCCTGAGAATATAACAGAAAACCTAAACGGTCCATACAATCAGATTGCACGGATATAAACCAAGAACACCTGCTGATGTTCATCAAACCTTAATAACCATTTCAACAAGCCCAAAAGTCTAAAGTGGTACATGTAACATCACCTTCAGAAAGCTAGTAAGGAAAACTTGTTACAAAGGCTAATACAGATTTTCATTATATTGTTTGTAGGTGACAATGTGTTTTCAAACTCACAACAGGTAAGAGCGAACAACAATTTGTAAAATCCTAAAATTCCTTATGTTGCAAGTTGTTTGAAAACTTAATAAATTTTTTTAATATAACCTGAAGAGCAAAATTATTGTGCGTATACCAAGAGAAACATGGAATATAAGAATAAAATGCATGAATAGCTTACTTCTTTTCCATACTTGTATGCTTGGTCCAAAAGTTTCGAATATTCTAGGTCCTCAAAATATTTCTGAAGGGATGATATTGGTTCATTAAAATAAACAGGAAGAAAAACTCGTGTGAGGTCCTTTCCCACACTGTCTTTGATCACAGACCAAAGGCTAACCCTTTTCTCTTTTAGAACTGGATCAGGGAGCTTTTTTCGCCTTTCGATCTGGGGATATCCAGAATCAGAATAGCACACATCTTTTCCACAGTATCGATCAGTTTCTTTTTGATTGTCTGCTTGATCAGCCGCCTTTCTTAAAGATCTAAAGCTAACATGAGTTCAGGATAACATGTTTTTTGTCATAGAGGAAGGTTTCATCGTCACAAGACAATTCCTCAAGCTCTTGTTTCTCAATATCATCAGAACTTGAAGATGTATCTCCGAAAACAATGAGAGCAAAGCCTGTATCCAGGCAACCCGTTCTCTCTTCGAAACGCTACTCAAATGAAGAGACTTTTGTATCAGTGAAAATGTACAACCGTTAGATTTGCTCTCCTACAACTACAAGAGTAAAATTATGTTATGCAAGACTTCCGTTACAGGTGTATGATCGCAGAAGAAATAAATGAATGGGACATATAAAATCCAGTTCAAAAATGAAAAGAAATGCTATCAATTCAAGATAATGCAAACAAGGCTCAAAATTAAAGCCTTGAGTGATGAGTCCCTGGGCAAGATAGGAGCATTTTGCTCAAAATTCTATTATCATTGGAAGAACAAAGATACACGCAAAAATGGACGGCAACAAACAATAAGAACCCCATTCGACATTTCAGAGGCATACTCCATCCTCGTCAACATACAACATTCATTCACCGTAAACATGAGTATTGAAATCACGAAAACAAAATAGCAAGAAATTAAAGAGAAATAGAAAGTTTAGAGAAGAAACATACGATAAAAAAAACTACATGAAAAATGCAAGAAACCTACGGTGGTTCTTGCTCTTCAATTTCCCAATTACCACCCCCTGTTTTCTTTTCTAATAGCTCAGATATCAATGCCTAACAATTTATATATTTTAAGGGCACTAAAATTAGTATAAAATGGCATAATTGGTAACATCAGCTGGTTTTTTCGAATCAAAATATTAGCTATATTACACCAAAAAAAATATTAGCTATATTAGGATCTCGCTAAAATAACATTAGAATCATGGTAAATGAAAATTTCAGCCGTTCGAAAGCCGATCGGTTAATTTATCACCTGTCAATATGACGTCACCAGTCGGAGAGAGGAGGTTTAAAGCCTCCGGCGAGTGAATCTTCTCGTAATTAGAGAACTCCGGCGGTGGTGCCGTCAACCTTGCCGTATTCCCTGTTTCAGATCTCGATATGAACATACGCATGCATGACCAATTATAACTATCGCTGCAATGCTATCATAAGTTACTTTTCAAACGTTAGTTTTCATAAAAAATTAGCTATTCTTAAAATTTTGGATAAATTAGCAAAAGTGAACTTTGATTTTGTTTTCTTCTATTTGGACCCAATTGTGTCTATCATTCTACTACGTATTATAGTACGGGGGAATATTTGATTCATAGAAAAAATATATTATAAAACGGTAATACTTTTCAAAATTAAATATATACACGTAGGATTTAAAAGATTATATCAAAATAATGTTTTTTAAAAAATATAATTCTATAAATGTATTAGATATTACATAATTTATTCCCTTTTAAATCATTGTCTTTAAAATTCTAAATTTAAATACTGTGATAGAAAAAAATTAATCTAAAGAAAAAGTTATTTTTATTTAAAAATTCAATTTAATTTGACTCATGCATTAGTCTTTCTTTTTCACCAGTCGAATACCTTAAATTATATCATATTACGAACAGGTGTTGACATAAGTGGTTGAGATTTATAATTTTGAGCTTATAAGACCAAGTTTAAATCCTATCACCGTTACTCTGGATCGAAAATCTATAAATTCCTATATAAAATCTCAATCTGTAAATTTCTATATAAAATCTCAATTGAATTTTAAGAATACCCTAATCCTAGACTGAAAAAACCACTTTTAACCTAAACTTTTGTAACAAAAAATTTATATCACATCAAATTTTCTGATATTTCTTTCGATTTTTTTAATGTGTACCCTAACTTTATTATTTCAATCTTTAGATATTTTATTTGAGTAATTTCTTCTCAAGAATTGTAAGAAATGGGTTTTGGTCAATCAACTAACGTTGATACCAAAAGTACCGGCTTAATTGACGGAAACAAACTTCGGGTACCAAGTTTGGACAAAATAACTGTAAGTACCAAATTGTGAGAATTGAACAAGTTCAAGGGCCAATACATATTTAAGCCGAATCAAAAATGAAAATTCTACACCCACTTTATCACGTTAATGTCACAAAGCTAGCAGCTAATAAAATGCACGAGCCCAACACCAGATTGTTTCCCTTCCCTTTTCATTCACCGTTACTTGTTCAGATGAAGGGAAGGAGAGGGAACATATGCATAAGGTCCTTGAAGATGAGACACTTATGACTTCTTCATGATATATCCCATAATTATACCGAGCAAGCCGATGAGGACGACAACCATGAACGACACCCCACCGCTGCTTTTTCTGCTTGAACGCTTCAAGAGTTCCTAACATTCGTAATATCATTAGATGTAAGACATTTCCGTGATAATAAAAGAGAAACGGACTTGGCCATTCAAAAAGAAAAGGGTAGGGGAATCATATGAAATACAATCCAAAAGGTAAAGTCGAGGTCTATGCTCCTCACCAGTTCTTGGCGAAGTTTGTTGTTTTGTTGAATTGCAGTGTTTTTTTCCGCAGTCAGCTTCGATATAAGAGCTTTTGCCTGCAATTATGGAAATTGATATTGTTATTACACTTGTGATGTATCAACATTAATGCAATATACGTAAATGATAACAGAGCTTTCATGCTCCGGTGCTGCAAAAGCTAGCTATGCTTGCAATGTGCACATAAACGAGAAGAAATTGCCGGGAGCATTAAAAAAATGGGCTGTAGTGCTGTGCTGACTCCAGGCTCAATCTAGTGAACTCAATTTGAACAATATAGATAAACCGGTGGGTAGATCTCTTCCAAATATATCTTCCTTTGTCCAACTTATGGAATAGAAGTTTTGCCAATAGAAATTTGCAGGTTTCTCTTATTCTTACGAGTCTTTAAGAATAGTAACAATATAGAGCAGCACATGATTTATTAAGTAATAAGTATAAATGTGTGTGTGTGTGTGTGAGAGAGAGAGAGAGAGATTGAGATAGTATACTCTTACACTGTAAAACTCATTATTTTTACACGAATATATAGCCATTGGATGAATCTAAATGGATGGCTGAGATTAAAACAATGTGCATTATCCTTTTTCTTTTCCAATTTCTACGGAAAAAGTGGATAATTTTATTTTTAATCACGATTATCAATTTAGATTCATCCAATGGCTATATTTTCGTGTAAAAAAAATGAGTTTTTCACTGTATAAGTGGATCCTAACTCTCTCTCTCTCCCTCTCTCTCTCTCTCTCTCTCTCTCTCTATATATATATATATATATATATATATTGTGGGTTGTTAACATGAGAATGTAACTCAGACTCCCCAAACATTTAGTTACACCTTAAGCAACAAAACAAACCTATTGCCATAGAAGTAACAAAATTTTGTATATTCCCTTAATAAAGTTCAAATTTCCAACATCAAATGAAGAGTGACAACCCCCACCCCAAAAAAATGAAAAAGGGATGGTCTATATGACAAAAAAGTGTATTTTGACAATTGATTCAGCCACTCTATGACAACCATCTCAGCAAAGGTTTGGATCAGCACATCATTCAATACCAACATATTCCTATTTCCTCTCAACCAATAATTACTTTTGAGCATCTAAAATACAAGTGTCCCAGCAGTTCAGATATGAATATATTAGTTTTTTTTTCTTTTGAAAGATGAAATGACATTACTTATAATGTAGGGTGATGGGGCTTCAGTAACTCCTACATATCATTTCCAACACCTGCAATCTTTCCAACATTTAATTGGTCTGAATACCAACACCAGCCAACCTCCATTCTAAAATAAGATGACTATCTTAGACAAAACCAGATTCAACCAAAATGATGTTACTACTTCATTTGGCTCCGGTACATCCACAAATCACGAATTGCTGAATTCTACCTATCTTAAAAAACTGGAGTCTTACGGACTACAGAATCACAGCTTTAGAATCACATGTTCAATAACATATATAGAAACTTAAACATTTAGGTCAAAGCAAAAAAGAATCAATTAATGAAAGAGCAACCGAGCAAGTAAATACAGATATCTGATCCGAAAAACTGGACCATACCATCCAGGCTACCAAACATGATCTTATCAAAACAAATGAAAATCAACTACACATAGTGTCGGAAAATACAGAAGTCAATTTTACCTCATAAGATTTATCTTGAGCTTCAAGTCCCTTAGAAAATGCTCTTGCAGCCTGCATTAGGAACAAAATGCACACTATTGCCATCCGAAAATGAAGTGCAGAGGAAAATAGAAATAGTAACAAAAGAATATGCAGGAAGTCTCACAGCAGCAAACTCGGCAGCATTTGCATGTCCATTGTCAGAACCTCTAGGTGGAGACCCTTCTTCTGACACTTCACGTACAGGTGAAGGTGGTTGACGCGGAGAATCATAAACCACTCTCAATTTACACTCCTCAACCACATGCCCAGCTTCCTTGTTGAACTTCAGTAATGAAAATTCCCGTAAATCACGAATTGTAAAACCAAAGAAGCAAGTAATACTGTGTCATTACAAATTATTATATACCATTCCTGCAGTTATATCCTTTGCAGTAGCACCATCATTAGCCTTTACACTTTGAAGGAGGAATTTATCCCTGCATTGCATATCAGGAGGAGCCTCTTTTTGCGCTTGCATGGTAACTAAATTAAAATCAACAAATCTTTCAGAAGCAATCCAGAACACAACAATGATAAAAACAGAAAGCCGCAAACTTTCAAGCAAAAATATAATTAATTTATTGTACCAACAACATCACATGTGGATCGAGGCAAAACGACCCCGGTATTGGGACGGACACAGTACTTCTTTGGATTCGTCGTTTTCACCTGAAAACGAAATCAATTAACTCAAAAGGAAATCTAGGATTCTAAAATTTGAGATTCAAACATCAATACATCATAATTTCAAATTTGCAGGTTCAAACACTTCAATCATGATGTTACCCAGCAACCAAACACAACATACAAAAAGTAAGAATACAACAATAAATCCTAGAATAAAAAGATATAAAAATAAATAAATAATACTAAAATCAAATTTGGAAATTAGAAAATGAAGAAGCATACCTTGAAAGCAACAGGATTGTCAGTTTTATTCGACAATTGAAGTCGGCACGCGATCTGCTTCCTCAGCTCAACTATTCACCAAACAAACTCAAAATTAAAACCTAGAAAAACAGAAATCGCAGATCCACCGGAGAAAAAAAGGGGGGGAAGAAAAACTTACAAGGAAACTTGAGCTCTAATGGTTCGATGCTGAGAAGCTCGCCCGTGCTCATTTCGAAGCAGTGGCTTAGATTAAATTGTTTAAGAAGAAGAAAGAAACCTCTTTCGAAAGGATCCGAGAACGAAAAAGGAGTCGGAAAATTTATCTGTTTGGCTTCCTTTTTTGAAAAGGGGGAAATTGGGCGGAGAGATCGAGAGGAAAACAACAAAATCTTTTATTATGGGGTTTGCTGCTTTCTATCTGGAAGTGAATTATTTAGCAGTACGATTGTTATATTTATTCGAGAGACAGAGGATCCAGGAGAGAGATAGTAAACGTGCGTCGAAGACGAAAGGAAAGTATTTCTTAAGATTGATATGGATGAATTAGGGTTCAAGTCCAATATAAACCATTTATATTATATGAAAACTTCAGTTTAATCTTTTTACTATAAGAAATGACATTTTAGTCTTGTACATTTTGATATTTTAATATCTGGTTATGATTTAAATGAATCAAACTACCTTAATGATTGGAGAAGAACGAGTGTTATTCCCAGAGATCTCATGTTCCTGAACTGTTCGGCGAAAAAATTTGTTTATGTTCGTTTATTTATTAAACGAACAAATATAAATAAGATTTATGTTCATTTAATTAAATGGACGAACACGAACGAAGGGTATGTTCGTTTATTTACGTTTCTAATTCATTTATATTTAGTTCAATCTCCAAACTCGTTTAAAACATTAATACCTAATATATTTTGAAGTTAAACCAATTAATATTTTAAAATTTGATTAATTTTAAACTCAAATAAAAAATACTCAAATCAATTAAAGAAAATATAAACTCTAAAA